AAGTAATTAAAGGTACAAGGCAGGAGTGTAGGGCTTGTTGGAGCTCCCAAAACTTGGCCTTTAAGGCCAGTCGGCTTGTCCCGAAGGACACAGTACTGCACAAAGTTAGGATCATTCTTGGTACTCTGACCTTGCCCATGGATTGACTGTTCTCAGACCTAACATCACCTCCTATTAATTTTCCATCAAAGTTGTGGTGGGCGACATTAGAAGAAAGGCAGAAGCAGTTTGTCTTGGGGGACAGAGTGAGTCAAACTTTGCCCTGGTCAGAGACCTGGAATTACCCAGTCACCAAGACTTATTAACCTTTCACAGGCAGTGACTGCGACTCAGTGACAGTGCCTAAATTTAATGTGCCTTAATGCGCATTAGCGTGTCCACATGTAGATGCATGCCTAAATCATCTTAATGCACCTTAAGCAAAGGTGCATTAAGTTTAGGCATGCAAAAATACATGTGTAGACATATCCAGTAAGTGTTTTTGGGTTGGTGTCTACACATATGAGATTAGGGAAAATATTTGCTCCCAAGCCCCTGCAGCCCTACAGTGGACCCTTGCTGATCACGCAATCAGGGCACAGGGCTGGGACCTTCCCCTAACTAGGACAGTTCCTGGACAGCCCTGAGCTGTGTAGAGAAGTCTGCATGGGCAGCCCAGAACTGGCTGGGGACTGTCCAAAACGGAACAGTCCACAGCTACTGCCAGGCTGTGCATGCTCCCCTAAGCAGCCTGGGGCTGGCTGGGAACAGTCCCAACCAGGGGCAGGTCCCAGCCAGTGCTAGGCTAGGCAGGGAATGGTCCCATGATCACAGTGGGGTCTGGGAGCAAGCTCCTAGCCTCTTCCCAGCACCAGCTTCATGATTGGAGAGTGGGGAGTGAGGGCTGGAAGCTCCCTGCTGCTGGGGCAGGGGGACATTGTCCCAACCTGGGCATGCAGGGCAGGGGCTGGGGAGCTTGTTCCCCTTCCAGCTCCCTGACCGTGGAGCTGGGGGGGGAACAGGCTCCCCAGCCTGTTCCCCACCCAGCTCCACACTTGTGGAGCTGGGCAGGGTGTTAAGAATATTAAAAGTTCATTTTGCACTCATAAATGCATGAGTGAGTGAGTGAATATGTTTTTCAAGCATATACTGTCTGCTGAAGAAACAGCCTTGAGAACAGGAAGATAAGAAGAAGAACAAACAATAAACAACCTACCAGAAGATAAGGAGCAAGAATAAACACCCTGTCTCAGGATTTCGTAAAGCAACTCCTCACCATCTGTATGCCTAAGCCATGGTGTATATGACTGAAGGACTGTGAGTTTTGATAAAGCCATCTCAGTGACTGAGCGACTCAGCTCAACAACAACAAAGTGATTGGCTGAGTGGGTTGTCAGGGGCACTGCAACAGTCTGATAAGAGGACAGTGAAGACCGGGCCCCAATGACACTGTATGCCATCCACATCCCATTGGGAGAAAACTGCTGGCGTCCTCCCCATAAGATCATCATGTCCAGAGGCACTGCGACTAGCCATCGTGACTCAACCTGAACACCAGTGGATTGGCCTGCATATGTGTGTTTGTAAGTATGAATGATTTTAGATAGAGCATTGCTTTTCCCCACTTAATCTTTGTGTGTTACTCAGCAAAGACCTTGGTTGCTGTACCTGCGTGTTGGTCTTTCATCCAACAGGGGGATGGGCTTCTCTGCCCCCACCAGCGGGTAGCTGCCTGCACTGGATCCGTGGTTGCGGGGCTCAGGCTGGGAAACATGTATCTCCTAGCAGTGACTCCACAACCACGGGGACACTGCTGGGAGATGTCTATCTCCCAGCCTGAGCTCTGTGGTCATGGGGCTCAGCTGCGAGACCCTTATCTCCCAGCTCAAGCCCCATGACCATGGGGCTTGGACTAGGAGATAAGCATATCCCAGAAGCAGCTCCACAGTCATAGAGCCACTGCTGGGAAACAAGGGTCTCCCAGTCTGAGCCCTGTGACCACAGAGCACTGGCCCCACAGTTGTGGAATTGCTGCTGAGGGATAAGAGTCTCCCAGCCTAAACCCTGTGATCACAGAGCTCAGACTGAGAGATAAGGGTCTCCAAGCCCCCCACTCCCCAGTCACAATCTTGGAGCAGGGGACTTGGAGCTCCCTGCTGCCAGAGCAGGGGGACATAGTCCCCACCCAGAATCCTGTGGTGGAGCCTACTCTGGCAGCAGGCAGCTCCCAGGGGCAGGGAGCAATCTCCCACTCCCTGATGGATGGCTGACCAGGAGCAGATTTTGCTCCTGGTCAGGTGTCTACACAAGTACTATTGCACCATTACTAATGCTGAGTAAATTTTCTACTTGCATTTGTAACTAGCAAATTTACTCAGTATTAGTGAAGTTTACTGCAAAGTAAGCATGTGCACATGTAGACACACATACTTATTTCACAATAAACTATGCTAATGCAAAGTTAAAAGTCTTGTGTAGACACACCCACTGTATGATAAACACTGCTTTAGGCATGTCCTGGACTGATTGGTTTGTCCTCACTCAGGACTCCATCTCATCTGGGAGCTCTCCTCCTCCAGGTTTGAGGCACTGATTGGAGGGTCTCCCCACCTGAATCCCCTATTTCTCCCCAGCCATGGAGTAGGCAGGAAGGAGGAATCCATCTGGCCAGAAACATTGTTGTTGTTCTCTAGGCTGAGCCCAGGCCCTGGATTGGAACAGAAGCTTTCCTCACCTCCAGGACAACACCACCAGCTGCAGGTGAGCAAGGATGCAGGAGACAAAGGTGAGCCCCAAGGGAGGTGTCAAGGGTGATCCCCAGGGAATGAGAGGAAACCTGGGGTAAGGGATGAGCCTCAAGTGTCAGACAGGGTAGTGCTGCTGGAGATTTAGCTAACAAGGGGAGCTTGGCAGTTTTTAGCCATAGCCCTGCTCACCAGCCTTCTAACAGCCAGTGTAAGCAATACGGATCAAAGAAGAAAATAACCCTTATTATGTGACTACTTGGACAACATTATAATTTTAATGCCATCTAGCTTCAGTATGTCCTGATCATAATATGTAACAACACTGTTATTTGCAGATGTAGGAAACTTGGTCCATACATTTCAATGGCCATTCTTTTTCTGTTTGCTACAGATAACCATAACACAATTTTCAGATGGTATCAGAAGATTTTTTCCTGTGGATTACTTTAGTCTTACTGGGTGCATCTACACAAGCTATTAATGTGTAGCAAGAAACTGCAGCACAGATCATGCCAGAGTTCATTGCTCCCAGGTGAAGCATTTGAATGTGTGCCGAGAACAGCAGTACATTGAGCTGGGTTAGAGCAAGCATGGCTGGCAGGGGGCTTGAAGGGTCATCCTGCCAACCCAGGGCTCCTCCAACCCAGCTCAATGTACTGCGGGGGAGTGAGGAGGCTGGCTGGGGCATGAGGGTGCTCCATTGTAGGGCTAGTTGGCAGGCAGTCCTCGCACTGAAGCACCCTCATGCCCCAGCCAGCTGGGTCAGCATCTACACTTACGTTGCTGCACACGAAAACTCCTCAGGAGGATAGTACTTGTATATACAAGTACTAACCTGTACTTGAGTTTATTAGTTTCCTGTGCCCTAATAGGGCCACATGCATTGGGTGACCACTGGTCCCTAATTGGGTGGGTTAGTCCCAGAATCAGATCAAGTTCCGGTCCCAGGCTGCATGACTCCAGGACAGCATTTATCCTGGATGCACAGCATCATGCAGGGATCTGGTTTCCCCCTCGGAGGCTGGCTGTGTTCCAGACAACAAGGAGCTGCTTGGGGCTGCTGGGAGCAGGACGCAGAGGGTAGCAAGTGTACGTGCACACCTGCACGCATGCACATGGCTAGGAAAGAGCTGGGCAGCATGGAAAGCAGCTCTTTGCAGATATGTCTTTGCGGGGGGAGAGGGTATGGGAGGTGCAGATCGAGGCCCCCACAGTGAGGGAGGGAGTGGGGGAGGAGCTAGGGGTGCTGCCCAGCCAGGGTGGTGCATGGGGCCCTGGGGCCATGGCAGGGAGTGAGACAGATTCACAGACAGCTCATCCAGGGGGCCAGCTTCCCGCCGCTGCATGCATCCCCCACCCCAGGAGGGGGGCATTGGTGGGCACATGCCCCCCAGATTTGTGCATGGGGTGGGGGCATATGCTAGCTGCCCACTATAGGCCCTGGGTTCCCTGCCGTGCTGCACTTCCCCTGGCACCACCATTGTGATGCACCCCCTGCCTTTCTGCAGCTGTCAGGGCAGTGGCAGTGGTGTGGAATTGTGTCCCCCGCTGCTGCCAGGTAGGCAGGGGGCACATGGCTGGTGTGTGGTCCCAGGCAAAAGGCAGCAGGGTGGGGAGTCTGCATCCACTCACACCCTGCTTGGCTCTGCTCCGGCTATGCTTCCAGTGTTGGGGAGGAAAGGCAGGCATGTGTCCCGCCTTTCTAATATGAAAAGCCTCCCATTCAGAACAAAGTAAAATGAAGATATGCAAACAAGATCACAGAACAAAAGGACTTTACAGAGAAATAACAGCCAGTTACAGTAGTGACTTTTGCAAATCACTGAAAGTCATAGTTAATAGCTGAGATCAAACTCACCAAATGCTCAGTAGTATTTTGGCATTGTGTCCCTTGGTATATAGGTTCATGTACTGCCTGACAGCAGTACTTAAGTAAAAGACAGGAACAGGAAAAAGTTTGACCTGGAGAGAAAATCTCCATTGGAAATGAGATTTACCTGCTTTCTTATACAACAAATCAATTGGACCATTTTGGATCCACTTCTGCTCTCAGTGAAGCCAATACAACTTCTCCATTGGGTCCAAAGGGATCAGATGTAGACCTTGTATGACTCATTTGACCCTTTGTGCATGCTTAGAACCTTAGGGATATGCAGTAGGGATGGGGCCTGCTCCATGTGGGTAGGCAAGGACAAATGTTGGGACTCATTTTCTAGGACCGATGAAAACATCTAGGCTCAGAACTGCTTCTCCCAGATTTGGGCCCATAGGGATTTAAATGGTTGTATCCATTATGTCTGCTGTAGGCACCTCATTTACTCCCCTGGGATCTATCTTCTCTTGAAAAACTCTCTGGAGTGCAACCTTGATAGAGCCCCTGAACAGGCGCTTTCTATAGTTCCCAACCAAGAAGTAAATAACAGGGTTGACGCTACTGTTTACAGAGGCCAGCATAATACATGCCTCAAATTTCAAATCAAAATATTCAAAAATACTAAGGAAAATATAGGCACTGAAGGGAACAGCAAAGAGGAGGAAGAAGATGATGGTGAGCAGGATAACAACATAGAGCCTTCTGGGCTGATGTCGCTGTGAGCCATATTGAATCCTGATGAAAAGGATCAGATTGAAAATAATCATAAGGGGAGGGAAAATTAAGAAACTCAAAACGCACGTGACCTGGAATGTCACACTACAATAGTCAGATTCTTCAAACAGACAGAAAAATGATATTAGTCCAGTTGTCAGACAGGAAAGAACCCAGAACAGGGCACACACTGTGGCAGACAAGTACTTTGGGCGGTGAATATGTTGCCAGATTGGACAGAGGACAGACAGACATCTCTCAGTGCTTATGGCTGTCAGAACAAACAGGCTGGTGTTATATGTCAACAGTGAAAGTAGGAAAAATGTGTCTAGTATGATGGGAAAATGTGAAGTAAAACAATATATATATACTATATTGCGAGGAAAACAGGCAGGCAGAGCAGGAAACCAAAGTCAGCAATGGCCAAATTCAGGATGTAGACAGTAAAGGGGTTCCTCTTGATGTGGCAGCCAAGAATCCAGAGAACGATCCCATTCCCCACCAGTCCAAACAGGCAGATCAGTAGAGTGATGCTGTCCAGGATCACTTCAGCTAAATCATCCATCTGGCATTCCGTCTGATTATGTATACCACTGTTGTTCAGGCTGGTCTCTGTAGGACGCAGGGAGACTGTGTTCACCTCTGTCATTGCAAAGCTTTGGGATAAATCCTGGACTTTCCGTCTTGTCCTCTCCTGGTCACATGAAATACTAGCAATAAAAGCAACATGAATAAGAATTAGTGCAGGGATGGGCAAAATACAGCCAGTGGGCCAGATCTAGCCCACCAAGGGATTGTGTCCAGCCTGCGGCAGGTCTGTCAGCCCTGCCCAGCCGAGGCTCAGAGGGCAGCCTGGACCATGGTGCATGTGGCCAGTTCTGCTATCCCCAGGCATACAGCAGGGCTGGGGCAGCACAGTGGCTGGACTCACTTTCCAGCAGCCCCAATGGCTACAGCTCTTTCCTCCTGTCACCACCACTGGGCCTGGCCCCACTTCCCAGGCCCCCAACCCATTCACCCTGCACCCACCACCAGGAGTGGAACCCACTTTTGACAAGACACTTTACTGCATAGTAGACTAATTTAGTGTGCAGTAAAGTATCACTGTCTACACATGCATGCAGCTACTACACAGTAAATTAGTCTACTGTACAGTAGTGCATATGTAGATGCTGATTGGGAGCACCCTCAGGCTTGCCCCAAAGGCATGGGGCTTGGAGTTTCTCCAGCACAAGGGCTGGGATGGCTCTTTTCCTGCCACAGCATGGGCCTTAAAGCCCTGTAATAAACCTGGCATGACCCTGGGGTCTGTGCCACCTGCTGCCTGCCTCTGGCCATATGGTCCCACAGCAGTTGCCCTGTGCTAGCCACAGCTGGGCTCATGGAGCCCGGCAGTGGCTGCCAGGGACAGCCCCACTACCTGGCTTCCTCCCACATGCCACGTCCCTGTGCTGCAGGCATGTACCCAGGGTCCCAGCTGGTCCCAGGGCAAGACCTTGGACCTGATTGCACTGTAGGGCTATGCTTAGGTGCAGAGCCAATTTGCCTGGGGTAGGCACTCCAACTCCCAAATCTATGAGGCCCTTGTGGGCCCCATGCAGGAGCGCAGTCACCAGCAGTGCTGGTGTGCATTCTCATTAACACAGAGGCAGAAATAGATCCAGTACAGTTCCAGTACAGACCTAACTCTTTTCCCAGTGAAGGAAATAAATAGCTTCTCTGTTGTTTCTAAAGGGAGCAAATTTAAGTTCAGCATAATATATTTGTTTTGTAATAACTTTCCAGAACACTGTGGACACATTTGAGAGGAGGGCCCTACTCCAGGCAGAGGACAGCTTAGGGTGACATTTTTAATTGGATCAACTGCATAGTTGGGATAGAGTTAGACAAGCAAACCATTCTTCATCATGTCTAGGCACAGATGGGATCAGCTAAAAGTAAGAAGCGGATGGTGTGCAGAATAACAATGCAGAGACTTGGTGGTTGATTTCATAGATTTCATAGACATTAGGGCTGGAAGGGACCTCGGAAGATCATCGAGTCCAGCCCCCTGCCCAAAGGGCAGGAAGTCAGCTCGGGTCATAGGATCCCAGCAAGATAAGCATCCAGTTTGCTCTTGAAGATGTTCAGTGTAGGCGCTTGAACCACCTCCGGTGGCAGGCTGTTCCAGACCTTGGCGGCTCGGACAGTAAAGAAGTTCTTCCTTATGTCCAGCCTGAAACAGTCTTGTAGTAGTTTATGACCATTCGACCTAGTCATCATCCCTTGGGGCGCTGTGGTGAACAAACGTTCCCCCAGATACTGGTGGTCACCCCTGATAAACTTATAGGTGGCCATCAGATCACCCCTGAGCCTGCGCTTTTCCAGGCTAAAGAGCCCCAGGGTTCTCAGCCTGTCATCGTAGGGTCTGCTTCCCTGTCCTCTGATCATGCGCGTGGCTCTTCTCTGGACTCTCTCAAGCTTCTCCACATCCTTTTTGATGTCTGTGTGAAACACAGTGGGCCTTGAAGATCAAGATCAGATTGGAAACAATCATGGGGGAAGGGGGAAAAAACCAAAAAAAGCAAGAAATTCATACTCAATATGGCCATCAAACAGTTTTTTACTAAATGACAGGAACAGGAGAAGAATCCTTGATTCATTCATAATGGAAGAGAGTCCACAGCAGGGCACACAAACAACCATACAAGTGGTTTGGATAAAGCCCATGCCAGATGGAATAGAGGGCAGACAGACACCTCTCAGTACTGATGGCTATCAGAAAATAAAGGCCAGTTCGGTATGTGAACAGGATGTGGAAGCCAACGTACCACAAGACAATTCCATTTCCCAGCAACCTGAACAGACAAATAAGTACAGTAATGTTGCTGATAGCCATTCTGCTTAAATGGTGTATTTGGCATTGGCTGTTTTTATATCCATTCGTGTGCACCGGGCTGGCAAGTGTAAGAAATAGGGATATGGTTTTTCAGCTCTGTCATAAAATCTCTACTACAGGATAGCATTTTCTCCATTTAGCAATATCTCTCTGCTAGGCTGAGAGCAGGGAGATGAGAAGAAGAGGGAATTGTGGCACTCTGTTCTGTGTTTTATACTTTTCCACCCCATCGCAAACACACACAAGCATATCATCCCATCCCTCTGAGGGGAAGGGAGAGAAAATCTTGAGAGTATACCTGCATGGGCTAGAGGAAGCTGCAGCATACAGAAATGTTCCAGCTGGGGAATGGCAAAGGGGCTTATGTACATTCTCTAGCTGCAACATTTGCTTTTTGAAAAGTTTTCAGCAGAGCACTCAGCTGGGTGGAACTTGTCAACTAAACCCTTGACTGAGCCATAGAAAGGCAGGAATAGAGCAACAATGGTGGGGACCAAGAGCTGAAAAGGACAACCCCAGGATACAAGGACACACGGACATGTAGTAATTTAGAGAATAATAATTAGGTCTTTACAGGGTGAAAGTTGACACAAAATCAGCATTTATATGTTGGTGGGTTTTGTCTCGCAGGGTATATCAGACTCTTATGGAGCTACTCTTGCTGCTAGGGAAGTTGGTAGGATTTTTCTACCAATCCAAAGCAAACAGATTCAGGCCTATAACATTTGCATAAGTTTACATTACAATGGGAAAGCAGCCCCTGATACACCCAAGGAACGGAAGTTGTTCTGGCTGGGGATAGAGGAATGTAGGAACTAACTTGCTAGGATCTTTATATTACTGATTTCTTGCACTCTGTGATTCAGGGAAACTTCTACTCCCAAAAATGTCTCTGTCAGGCTGGCTCCTGCAGTAATTTAAGTGGCTGTCTCCATTGACTCATCCCTGGAGGTTTCTACTTCTCTACTATCCACCTTGTCTTCAAAGACCCTCTGGAGGGCAACTTTCACAGAGCCCCTGAACCGCCGCTTCCTGTAGCTCCCAACTAGGAAATAGATAACAGGGTTGATGCTGCTATTAACTGAAGCCAAAATGAGAAAAATATCGCCATACACCATGTCACCAAAATGGAAAATTATGAAGAAATTGAAGGGAACAGCAAAAAGAAGGAAGAAGAGTACAGTAAGCAGGATAACAAAGTAGAGTCTTCCTGGCTGACATTTCTGGGAGCCACATTGGAGCCTAATGAACAGGATCAGATTGGAAACAACCATGATGAAAAGAAGAATTATGACATTCAAAATTAAAGACATGTTCCAGATGCAGATAAATATATACAAAGAAAAAAACTTAACTGCATTTAAAAGGGATGAAAAGATCCAGAGAAGAGTACAAACATAACCAGACAAGTGCTTTGAGCAACGTGTTCAGTACCAGACTGGGAAGAGGACAGACAGACACCTCTCAACACTGATGGCAGTCAGGAGACATAAGCTAGTGCTGTATGGGAAAAAATAAACTAGGATAAAGGTCTCCTTTATGAAGAAAGAGAGAAAATCAAAAGCTACATTGCTGGAGATATGAATTATGAGGATAGCAGGTAGAATTAGCAGGAAGCCAAAATCAGTAACAGCCAAGTTCAGGATGTAAACGGTGAAGGGGTTCCTCTTTATTTGGCAGCCAAGAAAGCACAGAACAATCCCATTCCCCACCAAGCCAAACAGGAAATGACCATAGTGACAATGCTCAGGCTTAATTCAGCTAAAATCTGTGCTCTATCTGTAGTCCAGTTGCATCCATCCCTGTAGTCCAGACTAGTTTCTACAGGAGACAACTGTGTTGTTCTCAGCTCTGTCATTATAAAATTTCTACTGTAGGATGATGGGCTCCCCCTTCAGCCTTCTTCACGGAGACCTGTTAAACAAGAAGTTAGGAGAAATAATGAGCTTGGTAACCCCTGTTTTGTATTTCCTTGATGATTCCAGACTCTCCTCAGCAATCAGCCAGGTCAAAGTGTGACAAAGCATGGTATTGTTCCTAATATCCCTACGTGAAATGTGCTTATGTTACAATGATGTACATCTCAAATTTCCCAGCTCTGGTGGTATGCTGGGAAAGAACAGGTTAAGGTTATCTGAAGTAGATCTAGAGGACCTGTTTGAGTGCTCCACTATTGGTAATGGGTCAAAAAGCAAGAAATTAATCAACCTGCATATGTTAAAACATCAGGTTGCAGCACCGGGAGAACCCTGCTGTTTCTAGGGCCAAGGGGGGATTTTAATTTGGCAGTGGCCAAAGGGATAGTGGCTGAACAGGAAATTCCAGAAGCAAGCACAGGATGTTCACATTTGTCCACCCAGTGTCTGCTGTTCTGGTGGGGCTAGAAATGTGTCTGACTCAGGCGGCACAAGTTAAACCAGTGTCCAAACATGATCTCATTGGCTTATGTAGAAACAGCAACCATTTCCCTGGGCACTGGTTAGAAAGTGCTCAAACGCACCTGGATCTTCACGCTGAACAGATAGGTTGATAAAAAGGCAGGGATGGGGAAGTGGGTGAATAGGTTAGTACACTGGATATATGACTGAGTAGATGGATGAGTGCCTAAATATACTGATGGGTGACAGATGTTTGGAGATATATACTATGGACATGCTCCATAGTATATAGCTTTGCTTGTCCCTAAGTGTGCTCAGTATTTGCCTGTTGTTTTGCACAAAAGGCTCTGGCTTGCTTGAGAACAGCAAAACTGGGGTGGGAAGGGGGAGTCAGATGGGGCTCCTCTTTTCAACATTTGAGAGCCAAATGGGGCACTTCTTTTCCAAATTTAGC